TATATATTATTAAATAAATTAATACATACAATATTATGCATTTTAATAAAATAAAAAACAGTAATTATTAAATAATATAAATAAATTAGAAAAAATTTGTTGCTAAATCATTTTCCTTAATCTTGAGTTACCCATGTTTACAGAAAAAAATATATATATTCACCCCTTTATAAATAAAAATAATCAATTATTATATGTAACGTTAAATTATAAATAAAATTATATACGGATAAGGTTCGTGTATAGCTTTTCCCAACTTTATATTGGCTTTAAAATCTAAATACAATTTACTCTATTAACCTAATATTTAATCCTTCTTTTCGTAAAATCTAAAATTTATTCATACAATTAAATCAATCAATCAATTTGAATCAAATTGATGACTTGATTCCGTAAATTTCTCATGCCCATTTAATCCGATAGTTGTTTTTTATTTTTGATTTTAATTTTTATAAGTTTTAAAATTATTGAAAACTAAAATTAAAACAAAAAATTAATAATTTATTGAAAATAAATTTCAACACTAACAACTAAAATTATAAAATTGTTTAGTAATATTAAAGCTATTTTAGTTTTAATTTCTTTACTAATCATAATAATATTATGACAAGTAACAATGAAACTACACCCATACAAAACATAGTCCATCTCTACCTATATCATTTGATATTTGAGCCCACTTTCTTTTCTGACAATCCCCATGATTCACTTGAAAAAGGTGGTTCCATGTCTATTGACAAAGCAACTCCTGAGGAGGAGGCAACATCCCAGTGATTGGTTACTTCAGTCCTAACATTTCTAATCTCTTCATGATTTTTTTGATCATTTGAATTGTTTTGCGAAAAACGAATCTGCTCCAACTCCATGGCAATTTCTATCATCCTTGGCCGCTTCTTACCACTCAAGCTTAAGCATCTATATGCAAGTTCAGCAACCTTTTTAATTTCTTCATGTGCAAAACTATCCTTGACTTGAGCATCAAGAATATTAAAGAGGCTATTCTGTTCCATAGAAAGAATGAAATGAGAGGCCAAACTTCTTCCACCTTCTGCTCTATCTAAAGAAATTGGTTTTTCTCCGGTTAAGAGCTCAACAAGGACAACTCCAAAGCTGTAAACATCACTCTTTTCTGTAAATTGACATGACTGATAATATTCAGGATCTAGGTAGCCAAATGTGCCCTGAACATTTGTGGTCAAATGAGTTTGATCAATAGCAATTGATCTTGATGCCCCAAAGTCTGAAACTTTTGCCTTATACTTTTCATCTAGTAAAATATTTGAGGACTTGACATCTCGATGATAAATAGGAATAGAGGCTGCCGAATGCAAGTAGGAAAGGGCAGATGCAACTTCTGATGCAATTGTCAATCGTCTTTCCCAAGATAAAGGAAAGTCTTCATTTTCATCATGTATGTACTGGAAAAGTGTCCCATTGGGAATAAATTCATAAACTAGCAAAGGAACTTCAACCTCCAAACAACACCCTAATAACTTAACAATATTTCTGTGATTAATTTGTGTAAGAATAACCATCTCATTGATAAAATCTTTAACTTTCTCTTTGTCTAATTCTTTGGACTTCTTAATTGCAACAATTCTTCCATCAACCAACATTCCTTTATAAACAGTTCCCTGACCTCCTTGACCAAGTATTCTATTCCTATTGAAGTTATCAGTTGCCTTTTCCAACTCCTTGGTACTAAATATTTTGGTCTTTTCAACATTATCTCCAGTTGAAGACAATTGTTGTTGCAATAATAAGCCTCCATTTTGCTTAAAGAACTGGCTCCGGAGATTCATTTTCCTTCTCTTCTTTAACATTTTGGACAACCCCCATGCACTAATAACTACTAAGCAAATTACTGTAAACCCCAAACTGATACCTACAAACATTAAGGAAGGAAAAAGGATGACTTTATCAAGAGATCCCCAAGAATATCAAAACTTCAAGAACTCAATACTCCAAATTAATTGGAAGTTTAAGTTCAAGTTTTAAAATGGGTGGGAATAAATTAAAAAAAGAGGATTATTAATTTATTGTATAAATCGGCTTAATTCAATTTTTAGTCTATTAACTATGACCTTGATTTCATTTTAGTCTAGAAACTATGTTTTATTTCTAAGTGGTCTATTAACTTTTAAATTCATTTCAATTTCATCTACCTGGTTATCTTTGACGGAAAACTTACTATTCTGTTAGAGAATTAGTTAGTCCTCTAACTATATTTATTTTGATCTTTTAGTCTTCAAATTTATATTTACTATAAAAACAACTTTTATACTTAAAATTATTATTTCTAGGCTATGATATCGAATTTTTATTCAGGTTTTTCTCATTTCTTTAATTCTTCTTAGGGTA